CGGCTGCTGATTCTGAGCCACCTGCAGCGCTTGATCCGTTGATGAGCTACATGCCATGAACCATCCCACATACCACAAGTCCCCTTTCCACTTCCATGACCGTCTCCTAGTATTTTTCACCCTCATCTTCGGACACTCGCCATCCCCAAGGAGACCTACGAAAGACAACGAACCCGTTTCACCATGCACAACGAAAAAACAGGTTGTGCCTCCAGCTGATGACTTCATTTATCAACATTGATCATGCTTCGATCCACCTTTTTGTTATTGACATGTCAAGCGACACTCTCACAGTGCATTTGCATGACTCAGTTCTTTTTGAGGTGTTTTTTGCACGATTGAACTATGAATGTATGACATTTGGCCTTTGCTGTGATTCTACACTGACCGACAACCTTTCACATTACTTGACCCTTCCCTCCTTCCGCCCCTTGGCTTGCTCAAGCCTACAACTCGTGATCCTTGCATCAACGTTCCAGTTGCCACCTTCGACGAGCGATCATGGATGCGCACTGGCAGCAATATTACTGGAACCATTATTTGCTTCAACAGCAGCAACATCAGCAGCTTACCGACCCAGACACCACGGTTTCTCCTCCCACGACAACTCACCACACCTACAACCCTACTGGCACTTACGGCCCACTCACTCATGCACTCCGTACGCATCAGGCCCACCACTCTCACCCATACACGACCTCACCATACACACCGCCACCACAGCACACACCGCCACAGCAGACTCCACCGTCACAGCCGGAGTTCCCACCTCCACCGCCACCACCACTGCCCACAGCCGACCCAGTCACTCCACCGCCATCGAGCTACAAGCACAGTCCACCACCGCCACCAGCCGCCCGCACCGGCACTGCACCTGCTCCACGCCACCTCTCCCACTCCACCAACCCACGACTCTTGGAACCAAACAGAACACCATTGGGATTCCAACACCCTCCACGGCCACCAGCTCTACCGCACAATCCAACCCACACAATGGTCTCGAAAAGCAGGGGTGGCAGGGCTCCCCACCTTTGACATCTTCCCCTCTGCTCCTCCCAGAAGAGGTCAGTCCTTGGATTTCAATAAGGCTGTCCAGCCCAGGTGTGGGGCTATCCAGCCCAGATGGAAAAAGAACAACTTGTCTTCTGAAAGCCTGGCGCTGTCCAGCCCAAACGGACAGAACCAGTGCCTGTTCTAAAACCTTTGGGCTGTCCAGCCCATAATTGACAGAACCAACGTTTTTCAGAAACCTTAGGCTGTCCAGCCCAAATCAACCCCTCTTCTCCCAGACCTCAACATCTTTGAGCTAAGTGAAAGTAACGAAAACCCTGGGGGCTATCCAGCCCACATGTGACAGACAATTGGGGGTTTACCCAGCCCAAATGTGAAACAGAGTGGGGGCTGTCCAGCCCAAGTGTGAAAGCTCAACAACAAATACCGAACAAGTTTCTCCCAAGGCTCATCGATTGAGCTGGCATTGTGCTGGCTCCAGCCTTCCCACCCATCCCATCCCTGCGCTTCCCAGCTCCACCACCCATGTTCATTCCAGCCTTCATTCCTTCTCCTTTCCTTCCCCACTTTCCTTCCCACCTCCTCCCTTGCCACCTTCTCCCTTGCCACCCTCCTCTTCATCTTCTTTGCCTCCTCCCTTGCCACCCTGGCCTTCTTCTTCTTTGCCTCCTTCCTTGCCACCCTGGCCTTCTTCTTCTTTGCCTCCTCCCTTGCCACCCTCTCCCTTGCCACCTTGGCCTTTTCCTTCTTCTTTGCCTCCTCCCTTGCCTTCTTTTCCCAGGGCTTTTCCCTTGCCACCCTTGCCTTCTTCTTCTTCTCCCTTGCTGCCCTTTCCTTGTCCTTTTGCCTTTGCAACTCCTGCTTCTGTGGCAGTGCCAGACCGAAGCGACTCATCCATCTTTTCAACCAGCCACTCTACCAAGTTGAGGAACTCACCTGACCAGAGAGGAAAACCAAGTGCATAGCAAGTGTGGAAGGGCTATCCAGCCCAAAGTGTGACAGGAGTACCCAGCCCAATGAAAGGGGTATATCCAAGTGTGCAAGAGCTACCAACACCAAGTGTGGAAGGGCTATCCAGCCCAAAGTGTGACAGGGGTACTCAGCCCAATGAAGAAGGTATCCAAGTGTGAAAGGGCTATCCAGATCAAGTGTGGAAGGGCTATCCCAACCCAAAGTGTGACAGGGGTACCCAGCCCAATGAAAAGGGGTATCCAAGTGTGAAAGGGCTATCCAGCCCATGCAAAAAAGTGGCCTTGCGAGTCCAACTCCTTCCATACCTTGAAGAGGAAGCTCCTGCCAGACTCCATGCTGCCCCTGCTGAGCCCGCTTTGCCTTTCTCCTTCAAGGCACAGCTTCCCAAGCCACTCACCGAAGCCCTGGGCCAAAACGAAGGCAAGAGAGTGTTTGGGCTGTCCAGCCCCAATGGAAAAAGAACAACCTGCCTTCTGAAACCCTGGGCTGTCCAGCCCATAATTGACAGAACCATCCCCTGTTCTAAAACCTCAGGAAAACTAAGTGCTTAGGGGTGTCCAGCCCAAGTGTGACAAGCCCAGGTGTGAAAGGGGGCAGCTGTGGAAGGGCTTTCCAGCCCAACAAATAATATTTGCCAAGGCACCATGTCTGGGTGCCAAAGCGTTTGTATGGACCGCATTTGGTCGCGCCACACATTGGCAGGCTCACCTCCCCTGTCCACGCCATGAGGCTGGTTCCCTTTGCCAGCAAACTGTTCACCTATCATGCTGTTGGTTGGGAGCCTAAGAGCCAGCTTTGAGCCTGTGCTGCTGGTGGTGGTGGCTTTACCCCCCAGTGAAAGGGCTGTCCAGCCCAAGTGAACGGGGTATCCAGCCCAAGTGGGAAAAAGGCTACCCTGCCCAAGTGTGTACAAGGCTGTCCAGCCCAACTTTTTTGGGCTATCCAGCCCAACTACCTAGGGCTATCTAGCCCACAAGCTTACCCAAATTGTTTCAACTCTTCTTTTTATTGCTCACCTCCATGAGGGTATGTGCTGGGCTAGCCCCCTACTTTTTCACAGCTTGGCTTTTCCAAGCCTTCACTTCGCCTACATTTTCCCTGCTCTAAACATCTTCAGAGCTTCCTTGGCCAACTTGTTGTTGTGCTCCTTGCCTTTGTGGGAAAGAAGCTGCGTAACCTGCCTCCCCCCTGGCACCCTCAAGGCCACAGCACCAGCCTTGTAGGTCATGAAATTCAAGGCCTGGTCTCCCATCACCCAGTCATCTGGCAACCTTTCCTCTTGACAGGCAGGCTTCTTACCCAACTTCTTTGAAGCAGCAGGTCTGGCCTCAGGCTTCTTACCCAACTTCTTTTCAGAAGCAGCAGGTCTGGCCATAGTCTGCCTGAGGGCCCTCTTCCTGGTAGGCACAGGCATCACATTCTCTGCTTCCCCCAGCAAAGAATCTTGGGTTGCAGGGACTTCAAACTCCTTCAAGAAATCATCTGTCGCAATGCTCTTGGCAGGAGACACCACCTTGCCCAATGGCAAATCATTGGTCCACAGTGCTTTAGGGCTATCCAGCCCATATGGGCAATGCAGGGCTATGAAGCCCAAAAGCTTTTTAAGCGCCCACCTTCTTGCCAACCTAGTGCTTTAGGGCTATCCAGCCCATATTGGCAATGCAGGGCTATCCAGCCCAAAAGCTTTTTTAGCGCCCACCTTCTTGCCAACCTTCCTGGGAGAGGAACCTTGCCCTGCAGGTTCATTGAAGAAGGCCCAAATCTCTTCCAGCTTTTCCAGCTGGAAATGGCTGAGCTTCTTCCCAGCCTCCAGGTATTTGGCTTTATCCCTGCCAATTCTCCTGCAATGGTTGCGCACCACCAGCAAAGCATCAGCAAGTGTCTTCCATAGTGTTCCCTGCATTGACAGTGGGAAAGAGTCCTTGATGCCTGGAAAATCCTTCAGGATCTGCTTGAGCACCTCTGACAGGTCACTGTACTTGAACTGGAGGGAGGGCTCAACCTTGCACAGGCTCTTTATCAAAGGCAGCAGGTCCACCAAATCCTGGCCCACGACAGCCTGTTGCCTTTCCAGGTTGAGGTATTTGCCCAAAGCGAAAGCACCTTGCAGGCCAACAGCCTTCACATGGCAAACCAAACTGTCAGCTAAGTGGTTCAGGTCCACCTCTGGGACTTTCTCCCTTCTGGCACCACCCTTTGGCATTTTGAGCAAGACCTTTGCACATATTGCTTATGGGGGGCCTTTCCAGACCTTGGATTGTGGAGGGGCTCTCCAGCCCATGGATTGTCCAGCCCATGGATTGTGGAAGGGGCTCTAGCCCATGCCTATCCAGCCCATACGTGGACATGTTTTGTGGGTGTGTCAGCAAAGTTAGCTAGCTTGAGTATAGATAGTCCTTGGAAGATTCAAAAATTCAATTGAATTTTTCAATCGAATTTTCAATCGTGTTTTCAATAGAAAAAACATATTTTTCAATCGAGAAATCAATCGAACCTAGAAGTTCGGCTATTGAATTTTGTTTGAAAAAATCAATCTTCAATCGTATATTGAAAAAGAGAAAAATACAATATTGCAATTGAATTTTTTCAATCCAGGATGCTTTGGGTCAATAATGCACTTTCATTCGGGCAGCATAACAAACATTATCAATAGTGTTTCGGGAAGGCCACATGGCAAACACACATGATGTTAATAATGTTTCCTCACTCGGGCAGCATAGCTGACATCGCCAATGGTGTGTTAATTTGCTATCGGTTTTAAGTAAACAAATTCAAAAGCAGTACATTCTAGAGAAAAAAACTTCCTTCCCCCAAGCTATAGAGCTTAATGAGCGATCTGGCAAGTGTAGTGGCTTACGCGAACTGAGACAACGCCTCAGCTGCGGTAGTTTGTTTGCCGTCCTTTCTGCCGAGATGTCAACCTTTTTCATTGTGAGACAGAGCAAGTCTAGACTCTAGACCTTCTGCCTTTGGTTCAGGCAGCAGTTGATTGTTGCTCTTGCGTGCCTTGCCTGCAGGTTTACTGTAATGCAATCAAAACTTCCTGGAGAACCAGCCAGTGGGCGTCAGGAGCAGCTTTTGATTGTTGGTTTGTTCCAATTTGGGCGTGCTCAGCAGGTCGACATCCAGTGATGCGCATTGAACGAGTGGGTGTCGAGATGATTCAGAGTTGGTGGCAGTCTGATGGAAAATTGAATGAGTCCGTGGGAGCACTTCCGCATGTGCCAAATATGTCAGTAGCAAAAGTTGAGGCCTTAGGAGCAAGGACGCTACTAGGGACTCCTGGCATCGCTACTAGGAGCAAGGACACTACTAGGGGCTCCTGGCATCGCTACTAGGAGCAAGGACGCTACTAGGGGCTCCTGGCATCGCTAGGAGCAAGGACGCTACTAGGGGCTCCTGGCATCGCTACTACGAGGAAGGACGCTACTAGCAGCTCCTGGCATCGCTACTAGGGGCTCCTGGCATCGCTACTAGGAGCAAGGACGCTACTAGCAGCTCCTGGCATCGCTACTAGGGGCTCCTGGCATCGCTA